GTGTGTGCGCGTGTGAGAGAGCTCCTGCCGCGGCCCCAACCCTTCCCGCATCCCTTTGGCATCATCGCTCCCTGACGTCCCGTAGCCGGGACCGCGGGGTGTTTAAATCCCCGAAGGAACGCGGGGCTTTTCGCGGCGCCGCGCCGGGGCACGCGGGGCTTGCGAGCCCCTATCCAAGGACCTGCCAGCTTCTTAGGGGGGAAACGGGTGGGCTGTCAGTGCCCCTGCGAGGAGCCCAGCCTTCTTGGCCTTGAACTGGGCATCCCTTGTGTCAAGCTCTCGCAAAGATGGCAGAATAATAAGGTAATAGCTCTGATTTTTTTAGTCTCTGATTTCTTTTTTTTTTTACCCATTCATTCGGGCTTTGATGACAGGTTGTTCAATGCGCCTCCTGTGGGCCCTTTTTTTTTTAAATATTGTTGGGTAAAGAAGAAAAAACCCCAGGTTATTTACTTTGCAGGGTAATTAATATTGGTGCCCTAAGTGGAAAAGTAGGGGTTAGAATTAGTCAGTCGAGTGCGCAGGCAAAAGGCGAGGTAGGAGGAGCCCCCGCGGAGCGGTCCAGACCTTTAAGTTGGGGATATTTTTTTCTGTCCTCAGGTCAGACTTATTTTAGACTTGTGTTTCCTTACTCCGCTTTGCACATAATTCAGTGACATAACTCTGTTATGTTCAAGAGGGGGGAAAAAAAAAAGGCATAACGATCTGTTTGCCTGAACTCCTGCTCATTTTCTGAGCTAGCAAAAAACCCACCTTTTTTCCTTCATACACATCCCCTCGTGACATTGTATGTCCGCTCATTCAGTTGTGCTCTTCAGCCAGTTCTCAGTGGAGGTGCGTGGAAGGAATTTCTTTTCCCTTTTTATTTGATTAAGCACTGATCGCCACGTTTTAACAGCCGGTCCTTAAACTAACAACAATAGTAACAGGGCTTGCCAGGAGATGTGTGTGCGTGGAACGGCATGGACAGAAATTGATAGGAAAAGGTAGAACGGTAGAAAAATACACAAATAACATTAGGAGGCAAGGCTTGTGAAAGAGTTGTCCTCCTTTTTCCTTCAAGTATTTGGCTTTACAAGCAAGAAGGTCTTAATTTCAGAAAACAGCACTTTTTTTTTTCCTCTCAGTTTTTAGTGTTTTCTCGAGAAGAAGAAAGATCTGAATGCTTTGTGACAGTTTGATGATTGAAAACTGGTGCTTAGTTTAAATATGTTTATCTGCAAAGCGGGCAGGAAAGAATTAAAAGTTGATTTAACACAAATTATTTGAATTCCTGCATGACAGACTCCAGTGAAAATTTCAAAATTCTAAGTGAAGGGAGTTTTTAAAATACTGAGGAAAACCCTATTATTTTTAACACACCTTTTTTTTTTTTCAGTATTAACTGTTTCTCAAGTGCTTTTGGAATATAAATCACTACAATTAAGAAGAGACAAACTATACTTCATTTTGATATACATTTTCCTCCTATTTACTTTGCTCTTTACAAGAGAATTTATACTAATCTGTGCATTTTATTCCTCTGCTGTGGAACCGAAACACAGCATGCACTTTTAGTTTGAGTTGCGAATACTGGGCTAGAATCTCACAGTGTTCAGTTAGGCAAACCCCAAATGGATTGCAGAATTGGGTCCATTATTTCCTGACAGCAGCAAAGGAAATAGCAGACTGGTGGGAAAAGTAAAAGAAAAAAAAATTCAAACCTTCATAGCCAGGCATTGTGTTGCTTCAACCATCCCAGCTATCAGTGTACCACATTAACTTTTATGACTAATGGATAAAAACAATTGTGTTAGCAGCCTCAACCTTGCTTTTCCCATAAAACCAGAAATACCGCATGCTTTTTCTCTTACAGTTTTTGGAAATTTAAGGATATGTTGTACTACTCCTTTTTTTTAGAAAGTCCTACCGCAGATAAGCCTTAAAACTATTGGTTAGACACCAACCATAAATTATTAGCTGGCGAGTAAGCAAAACTGATGTTCGCAAGTCCTAAGCAGCAAACGCTGTGATTTGGTTCGTTCCCTCTGACATGCACTGCAGAGGCTGTTTCTTTTAAAATAAATATCATTTTTGATACTATGTGTTTGATAATCTCGTTCACCCGTCATGAAAATCTCATGGCACGGTTGCACGCATACAGAGATGGATTTAGAGCCATAAACTGTTTTCATTCTGCTTATCTAATTCTCATTGACACCTATGTATATTAAGCAGCAGATGTAGGGCAGCTTGAGATGGATTCTTCTCTCGCTGACACTGGTATAAATTTGGGTTGCTCCTGCGACTGCGGGAGAGCAGGCTCCCTAATACCTAGTGAGTAGTCGATTCTTGATGCATATTTCTTGTTAAAAGGCGAAGACTCGAGGCTAATTTATATGTCCCCTGTCGAGGTGAGAATGGGAGTCAGGTGTCTCAGTGAGCTCCGTGAAATGTGGGAAAGCTTCTAGGAAAGAAGTTGGCGAGGGCCTGGGCCGCGGCCTCGGCACACTGGGCGTGTTGTTAACGTCCCCCTTTGCCCTTGCAGATATGCCCTGTGTGCAAGCGCAGTATAGTCCTTCACCGCCCGGTTCAAATTATGCAGCTCAGACCTACGCGTATGGCTCGGAGTACAGCTCGGAGATCATGAACCCTGACTATGCCAAGCTGACCATGGACCTGAGCAGTACTGAAATCACTGCCACTGCCACCACCTCCCTTCCCAGCTTCAGCACCTTTATGGAGGGTTACTCTGGCAGCTATGAGCTCAAGCCTTCCTGCCTCTACCAAATGCAATCTGCCTCCTCCGGCCAGAGGCCCCTCATAAAGATGGAAGACACCCGGCTCTCCCCGTATCAGCCCTCACTGCCACCCTCCACGGACGAGGGGATGCCCAGCACTTCCATGTACTTCAAGCAATCTCCACCCTCCACGCCCAGCACGCCCGGCTTCCCCTCTCACCAGAGCCTGTGGGATGAGCCGCCGCTGCAGCCCACGCAGACCTGCCTGCCGCCTGGCCACCTGATGGACGCTGCCCCCATGAAGACCGTGCCCCCACGCTTTCCCCTCTTCCACTTCAAGCACTCGCCTCCCCACACACCGTCCGCGGCCGCCCACATGTGCTACGACCCTGCCTCCCTGAGCCTGCCCTTGGGCCCCGACAGACCCGCCGCCAGCCAGACGCCCATGGAGAGCCATTCCTACGGGCTTCACCTGGCCAAAAGACCAGCCACCTTAGCCTTCTCACCACTCGGCCTCAACGCCGCCGCCTCCAGCCTGATGGGTGAGAGCAGTGGAGGCGGGGGCAGGAGACACGGCCAGGGGTGGTGGCTGTGGCAGCAGCAGCGGCCTCCCATCCCCACCCAGCAGGAGCTCCTCATCCGGGGAAGGCACCTGCGCCGTCTGTGGGGATAATGCCGCCTGCCAGCACTACGGGGTACGGACCTGCGAGGGCTGCAAGGGCTTTTTCAAGGTGAGAGCTCTGCGGTTTGCTCCCCTCCCCACTTCCCTCAGCCTCCCCTCCCTCCCTCCCTGCCCCAGGATGCTCCTTGTCCTCGCCTGGGGGCTCGGAGGGCTTTGTGTCAGAGCCCAGAGCCCCCCGGAAGGGTGTGATGGACACCCACCCAAAGGTTTTGAAGAAGGTCAAAGAAAGCCTTCTCTATAGGATGAAAGGATCAGGCAGTCTCGGCTGAGAAAGGGCCGTGGCAGCGAGGTGGGCAAACCACGTCCCCCATCTGCCAGCATCCCTTAACAAGTCACTCCTGTCTGAGCTATAAACTGCATTTATTCTGTAGCAAAACACACCCGGAATACACCCAGCCTGGGTGTTGCTCAGTCACTCACACTAATTACATCTTTGTTTTAAGCGGGGAGAGAAATCTAGAAATGGGAAAAGCCCACTTGGTTTTTTAGTGGATGGCAACAGTGCCATTTGTTGTCCTGGGCCATTTGGGGCGAGGAAGGCTGTAGGGTCAGTGCCAGGAGCAACCTGGTTTCTTTCACGCATGGGACAACCCCAAGCGCTTGTGGTTTTATTGGGTCTCTGCTTCGTCGTGACCCTTTGGCTCAGGAGCCCAGTGAGCCCTCACCAGCAGAAAGCTGCTTGCAGAGCAGTGACTAAGCACTGCGCAGGGTCCCGGCGCCTGCTCTGTAACGGAGAAGGCTTTGCAGCTGAGTAGCAACACAAATAACTTACACACAGCACTTTCTCAGTGGAAACTTTGTGCCCGTATTTTAAAGAACTGAGTATTCTCCTTTTTGCTCTTGGATCTGGGTGCTTCATAATTTCAACAGAGTTCAGATTCCGGTATCATTTGCAGAATTAGCTTGTCTAAGTGAAGAACCTGGGACAGACTTGTGTTGGGATGGTTCTGGGTGGCAGGTTTAAGATTTGATACATTTGGGGTTGATTTGGTATATTCCTTCCTGCAAATATAGCAGTCATGCCCCTCTTCTGGTAAAAGATACGGTGGGAATCCAAAAATAGTTGGGGGGAGGGCTTACAACATCTTCTTATTGTGGACAGAGCTGCTAATGTTACTTAATAATTATCCTTTGACAACATGGTGAAATACTTGTCTTCTATAAAGCTCATTTGTTATTTAAATATAATTAGAAAAGGAAACACAAATAACCTGGAAACAGCAGCTCTTATGGGCCCAATGCCGCCCCTGTGGAAATCAATAGCATATCCTTGACTGGAAGCAGTATCTAGAGCTTATTCTGCAAAATAAAACAGTTTACAGCTCCAAAGCACAATCAACAATATTTTCTGTGTCTCTTATATTTAGTATGTTGAGGCTTTTATTTAGAAAAGGAACACAAATAACGGAATAACATTTTTCCATTAATTTAATTGCAGTGAAGGATTTAATATTGAATGTTGAGCTGATAGATTTGTTCCTCTTCTGAGGTCTTCCCTATTAATGTCCTTTTTTTTTTGGTGCTGAGTTATATATTGATGTATCTTTGATTTTAAATATGGAAACACATAATACATTTTTGCATCAATATTTGTTACATTCTGCCGACAAGGCTCACCAGGTTTTTACAAATTTTGAATCTATTGTATCATTTTCAGATCATTTCAGAGTTAATTAAATGTATATAAATACAGTATAATTCTATTTTTTTCCCCAGGTCAGGTTAGCTTTCTGAGAATATTTAATTCAGCGTATTTTGTAGGGGTTTCTGGTATTTTTATTTTTCTCCCTGATGGTTTTAATGGCTAACCAAACCAGTTACTGTGGTATTTGACTAACAATAGCGATAGCAAGAGAAGTACATCGCAGATCTTTTGATTTTATTTTAATAAGGTCAGCAATAATCAAGGGAATGAACCAAGTAGAAAATTGTTCCCAAAGGGATATTAAAAGCGGAGATAATCTAATCCCCAAAGGTAGATGCGATGACCTGGTAATTTCAGATATGATTTTATCATTCAAAGTTGCCTGTCTCCAGAGACTTGCTTCAGAACAATCCTAGATGATTTTCATTGTCAGCAGCTAACACTAATAAAATTGTTTTTCCTGCAGGCTAGTGTGTTAGGAAATTAATTTTATCTAATTATATGAATTGCACTGTCGCTTTTCATGTTGTAATTAAAACACATTTTGTCAGGTCCTAAGTTGTTCAAGAAACGCTCAGTTTACTGTTTTTGTGTTGCATTTTCGCAGAGAACAGTTCAGAAAAATGCAAAATACGTTTGTCTGGCAAATAAAAACTGTCCAGTGGACAAGAGACGTCGTAACAGATGCCAGTACTGCCGGTTTCAGAAGTGTCTCAGCGTCGGCATGGTGAAAGAAGGTAAGAACCATTGCTATTATTATCCCAGACACGGAAATGTTACGTTTAATGAGTCCGCGTGTGTGCGCGCGTGTGGACATGGATGCCTTTACGATGAATTCTACCCCAGAATAGGTGCATCTGTGTAATAATGTATTGATTTTGTTCTTTTCACTCGTATTATCATATTTAGACTTCAGACCCCAGAGTTCAAGAACAGCAAGGTCACCAGAGGATAATTTGACACTGGCCAAAATGTCTCCTTTATTAACTTTGAACGTTGCTCAATAATGCTGTTGGCTTCCCCCTGTTATCTCACCGGGGGCTGCTCTGGATTGTGTGCATTTTGACATAGGATCTCATCTTATTCCCATAAGCTGATTGTAAATTTGCAATTAATTTAAATGGAAACAGGATCAACTCATTAGTCCCAATTCTGCAAATATTTAAGTAATGTGAGTAATACTGTGTGAGCAGTCCCACTGCAAATACTAACATGGATAACATAACCGAGAGAGCGTGACTGTGTTTTTTTCAAGCGCTTCAAGAAGGCGAACACTACTTTGAACGAATGCCTCTTGCCACTTAAAAGGTGCACCAGGAGCAGGAACGTTAGGATTTGTGTTTCCCATTCAGTTTTCTTTCAGCAGTAGGGTGTCTCTCTGGGGGTGTGTGCGCGTGGGCACGCGTACCCGGGTGCAGAGATGTGCTGCAAAGCGAGCACGAGCGCAGCTGGGCTGTAAGGAAGCAGCTACGCTCACAGGTCTGACGCAGTTTTGCCATTATTTGTGTTCCTTTGCAATCAAAGGCGCCAAGAGCACGTGCTGAAACCGGAGAATGCTCTTGTTTTCGCTGGGCTGGCCACCATGAGAAAAGCAGGTCGTTTGCTGGTATCTTCACAACTGATTCCCTGTTGGGTTTTTTTTACCTAGTTGTCCGTACCGACAGCCTGAAAGGGAGAAGAGGCCGTCTGCCTTCCAAACCAAAGAGCCCCTTACAGCAAGAACCCTCTCAGCCCTCCCCGCCTTCTCCTCCCATCAGCATGATGAACGCCCTCGTAAGAGCTTTAACCGACTCCACACCCAGGGAGCTTGACTACTCAAGAGTAGGTCTCACTTTTTCTTTGCCTGTTCCTGTTCCGCTTTGAAGTGATTCGCGAACTGCATTTCTGCTTACCGGCCGGTTTGCTAGAATGAAGTAAAATGTGAAATTTGGATGAGGGTAGAAATTTGTCCAGCCAGCCATGCCTTTTTCATGGTAGATGGACAATGAGGGGAAGGGCGGTGCAGTAGAAATTAGTCTTAGTAACTGTTCATCATGAGGGTCTCAACTACTAAGTTACCTGCAGCATACTCCGTGGGTGAGCGCAAGTGGAAATGCGTGGATAAATAGAGCATTTTTCTTGCAAAAGGCTGTGCCAAAATGCTAGCAATTGCAATATGATCCATTTATCTACCAAACTCAGGAGCAGTACTCATACGTCCAGTATCTTAATTTCCAGGTTCTGAAGGCTAAAGTCTAATAGCACTTCTCTAATATTCAGATATAAGAGTTGCACAAAGTAACACCAGATGGAAGGGGCCATGGCTGTTGAAATCAATGGGAGTTCTGCCAGTATTTAAATGGGACCAGTGTCTGGCTCTGGGTATCCCAGCATGAATGCTTCTTCAGTAAAATTCACATTTGTAAAACAAACCTTTTAAAATTAAAATTCTGAAACATTATCTCAGCGAAGCTTTACCAGACATTATATGTTTTTGTAACCTTGTTCTCTAATGTATCATATTCACCATTTAAATATTCATGGAATATTTTGAAAGCTTAAAAAACTGTTCTATGGTTATTAAAATACAGCATTGAAATGGCTTGTTAAATACTTTTTTTTAGGGAGGTTGGTGTAGGAAAAGAAAAAAATACAGCTAAGGAAAACTAAGATCAAATTCCTTCCCCTAATGAAATACGATTAAATCTGAGGCTGTAAAAAATACAGCTGTGTTCAGACAACATCTACATTGGCCATTAATCACTTGTTGCTAAGTAATATTTAATGCTAAAACATATTTGATTGTGATTATATAAAAATTGCATTATTCTATTTTAGACTATACATACATATATAATTTAGCACTTTTAAGCATACTGTAACATCTTTTCTTCAAGCTAATCTGTAAGTATGCAATCATATAATTTTCCAAATTATTATTAAGAATCTAACTGTTCAATATCTGACAGCCTTTTAGGGGGAGAATGCATTAGCCGTATTTAACACGTATTTTAACTTACCCAGAATATCTCAGGGGGTCATTCTGCAAACACCGAGGTGTGTGACGAGCTGTGCTCTTTGACAGAAATCTGCTGGGTTCCACAGAATTACAGGCGTATAATAGCCTAGGCCATGGAAGCAGTATCCAACCTTACGTATTTATTTATTTATAGATACCAAGTTCTTTCTGCATTCATAAAAAACATAAATGAAATCTGTGCATTTTTATGTGATTTTTTTTTCTTTCTCCTGCAGTAATTCTTTTAATGAAAAAAAGCCCATAGATCCAATTGTTGAACAATTCTGCTGGACATTACCAGAAGCATATGATTGACAGTAAATTAATTTAGTCTTGGTAGCTAAAAGATTAAGTATGATTGTCTGTTAGGACATATTAATATCTAAGTTTTTCTTTACAATAAATTATATAATACCCTGTTAGGCTCAGCAGTACTAAAAAGACAAAAATATGCTAAAAGAAATCAATAGGTTCTTAGGTTTTTCGTAAACCTTATACTTATTTTGAAAAGTTAAAGGACATCAGAAACAAATGTTGTGCAAAAACTGAGCCTGACTAAATGAAATATGCTGTAAACACACTGCAGTGCTAAAAAATCCTTTTGAAGGATAATCCTGCACCTGCAAAGACTAAGCTGTGGCACGTTCGGTTCGGCTGTGACCCTGCCGAGCACCACAAACGGGTGGATCTGGAAGTCTGGCTTTGGAGTCAGTCCTAACACTTCTGCAGACACGACCTTAATGTTTAGCATGGTCCTCATGTTTACAAGCCGTAAGGTCTTGGCGGTCTTAAAAATACTGCTAAGCGTTTCAGAGAGGAACGTACACCCCTTCCCCCCAAAAAAACCTACGCACATGTAAAAAAAAAACCCAAACCAAACCTCAAAAATAAATTACATAAGCTATGAATTTTAAACCAAAGCAGATTGGAACCAGTTCTGTTCAGAGCATGGCTACTTTTCATTTCAGCACTGGTTTTAACTTACCAGTCCAGAGCAATGGTATATTTAGGTACTTGGTTTCAAAAAGCAATTGCTAGGAAGAGAATTTGGTTTATGAACTCCTTAAAGGCCAAGGGCCGCTGTCCAGTCTCACACCTGTTTTACTGGTACAATTCCATGAATTTACACTTCTAAGTAAGCGAGATGAGAAACAGACCCTCTATCTTGATGGCCTTATTCACGCGGAATAGCCACCAACTTAAACAGAAATGTGGCTGTTTCGGAGGGAGAGTACAGCATTTAGCTCATAATCCCCCGTGTTCCCTAGCCACAAAATTAAGCCAGTATCGGGGCTTTTGGAAAAACAAGCATAGCTTCTTCTCTGCGCAGAGAAGTCATTGTTAGGCTTTTGCAGCTGTAGCAGTTGACGAAGGTCTGACGAAAGCAGGCAAAGGGTAGAACTAGGTTGTGCTCACAGGCCCCCCGGCGTCAGGCTTTCCGAATCTTTTTAGATATACCACACAAGTTAATGTTGCTTCCTACACGTGCAGCCCCCTCCTTGAGTAACAGTCGGGTTTCATTTAATTCCCAAAAGTGCTCCGAGCAAGGGAGTAAGGCAGAGCTTTGTCTTCAGCGTGCCTGCAGTTCGCAGAGGGCAGGTTAAGAGATGCAGATCAGAGCCCTTCTGTACCGTGGCCTCCTGACAAAGGGCAGGCTTACCAGCGGTCTTGGTCAAGAGTTAGGTCAAGTATCACCTCTTGTCAGTGAAATAATCATGGAAAAACCCACCGATTTTGGTGCATAAAACAGAACCATGCGTATTGTTTATCGTTACTTGCATACTCATAACTGTTATGAGTAAATAATACTTTATTTTAGTTATTCTTTGTAAGTGCTAACTCTTCGTAGCAAACCATGACGTATTATAGCATCTAAAAATGATACAGTTCCATATAATTGTTTACATTTCTTCTAAAATTGCTCTCATGAGATAAACTATAACAACAAATACAGGTTATAATTGGTTTAGATGCATTTAATTTAATTAGGCGCTCCACGTGGGGCATACTGTACTGTAGCAATCAAAATGATGTGACATAATGCAGCATTCAGATTCATTAGAAAATGCTAGAACTTTGCCTTCCTTTTGCCAAAGGAATGTTTTATAAATATTGGGGAAAAATTAATACCTAGCATAATTACACTGGCTTGTGATGAGTTATATTTAGAATGAACTTTGGGCAGTATCTTTTTTCTTTTCCTTTTCCTTCCTCTGCACTGCTCAAAGGATCAAGAATGTGTCTTGCCTTAACCGTACTTATGGTGAGGCAGGGGTTTCCATCAGCCTGTTTGGTTTTCCTGTGTAGAAAGGAGCCATAGGTCAGCCCCTGCACAGCAAAGCACACCTCCCACAGACCAGGTGCACACTGGCTTGGCTTGCTCCACACCCGCACTTTAAGAGGGTCCAGAATGTGCAAGGTGTCTGAAAAAGCATATGATCTTTTTCTACCCACTAATCATCCCCCTGCATCTTCCTGCAAGTCCAGTGCCAGGAGTAATTAGTTCATGCTGCTTGAGCATCCTCAACTGCTCCCTTCAGATGGGGGGCTGAACACAGCAATGATGCAGCAGACAGATTTTTCCACCGCTGCTCACCATCCTCTCTGTGTTTTGGCATCTACCTGCTTCACTATCACAGGATCCTTTGGGGTAGCTGGGCAGAATTTGTCTCCACATGAACTTTATAAGCGGGCTCGCATGTGTTTCACCAGCTGACTAGGGATGTAAGCTGGAGCTTTCCATGCGAAACTTAGGGCAGTTAGTGTTGGGTAAGCAGGACAGGGTCATTCAGGACTGGCATTGGTATGCCCGATAGGGCTAGAGGTCTCTAGGATTGCTATGGTTCTCCAGTCAGCAACTCTGACAGTGTCCTTCATCCTTGACCTACCAACAGAAACCAGCTCCAACTGGGACAGGCAGAGAACAGGGCACCTACCCGAGAAGTTCTGCTTGCTGCCCCTCTGCTCTCCTGCACAGAGGTGACTTGAAGGCCAGGCTGGATGAGGCTTTGAGCAACCTGGTCTAGTGGAAGGTGTCCCTGCCCATGGCAGGGGGGTTGGAACTAGATGGTCTTTAAGGTCCCTTCCAACCCAAACCATTCTGTGATTCTGTGATTCTATGACTTTTGGGTTGCAGTTAGCAACTTGGGTGATACCTGCAGCCCAAGTGGCATGCCTGTAATAAGGTGCTCCCAGGCTGCCAGCCCACTGCTATTGATTGGGAAAGAGATGTGAGTCTTCCTGCTTCCACTCTGGCTTGGGGAGTTGCTAGAGAGACCTTTAGGTTGATGGACTCAAGCCCTAACTGCATGAGGAAAGTTTCTTCCAAAGGGCGCGCACACTTATTTCAACCATGGAGACTGTTCCGACCTTCCCTTGGCTGAGTCCCAGAGAGAGCGAGAGGGTATGAAGTCTCTCCCAGAAATAACCCGCCAGATGTCTCATGGTGAGGATGTTGTTACAATAAATCCCAAATTATTCAGTTCCTGCTCAGAAAACCAGCGGCGCTTTTCAAGCACAGAATCGGACTAAGCCACAAAAGCTCTGGTTGTATTTTCTGTTGAGAGAGAGAGAGCAGTGTCACGGGAGTGACAGGGATCCACTGATGAGGAAGCAGGACATAGCGGGAGGGAGCTGTCAGAAGGTCAGGCGGAAGCTGAGCCTGTCGAATGGCTGTCTGGAAGACTTATGGCCGCCTAAGCAGGATAATAGGGTCTCCTGAACCTTAAATGCTTCTCTTTGAAGGATACGAGGTGATACCGGGCAGCTGGTTTACTTTGAACCAATCCTGTATTTAAATGAAGCAATGCTGCATGTGTCAGATAAAACGTGATTTATCTTACATGTCTCTATCACTGTCAGATAAAATGCAGTTTGAGAGGCTTTGGAAGAAATCTGTGGTTTAGGCATACTGAGGCAAATGCATCAATGGGAAAGGTGTTTAAGTGTAGTAAGTTAAACAGCATTCCTCTTCTGGCGTGATGGAAATTATCCTACCCAGCAGGTTTCTGTTTACTAATAGCATATAGGTACTTGTAAAATGTGGTTAAGTATTATATTTTATTTATAAATTTGAAATGATTCCTATGCGTGTGGAAATACTTTTGCAATATACATCTGAATAGCACAAGGCCTGTAGGTAGCCAAATAGGTAGATAGACGCGGACCTACTTATTATGTCTTCGACAATAATACCAGCTTTGCCACAGAAGGAAAATACGGTGGGGCAAGTAATGCCGCATGTTTCACCGGATGCCCTTAAATGCGTGTAACGTTGCTTTCTGTGGCTTTCCTTTTAGTACTGTTCCACTGACCAGGCTGCTGCAGGCACAGATGCAGAACATGTACAACAGTTCTATAACCTTCTGACTGCCTCCATTGACATAACTAGAGGCTGGGCAGAAAAAATCCCAGGATTTACTGACCTCCCAAAAGAAGATCAGACATTACTCATAGAATCAGCTTTTTTGGAGCTGTTTGTACTAAGACTCTCCATCAGGTAACTATTTATTTCATTTCCTCTTAAGCTGATGTGGAAAATCATACATCTAAATATTGTGAAGGAATAAATATGGCATTATCTTTGAAAATCGTCAGCTCTACCCAAAAACCCACCAAACGTCAGCAATGTCTGCATAATATGCTGTTTAACTTGTTTCACGCTGCAGAAGAAAATAAGAAAGCAGTTTGAAAAGAGACCATAGGTCTCGCCGATGTGCCTTTTTATGTCATATACCCCATCCCCTGCTTCCACAGTGATCGAAATTGACCCACAGGTACTATTTGAGTGAGTTCACTTCATACTCTACAGCATAAACTAAAGAAAGGCATCTTCACTGGGAAAGATTTTCTTTCCCCCCCCCCCTTCTTTTGTGCATGCACATCTTTGTCGTCTGTTTTTGAAAGGGATGAAAAAGCTTTAAGATCTTTTTCAGATTGTTTTTCTTCGTAATACCAAGTCTTTTATTACAGTGAGATGCTATTTGTCAGTCTGGCCCTAGTTAAGACACTACCAAAACCACTTTCAGGGACTGGGGAAAACTGGTGATTTGAATTATGCCCTTGTTTCTTTAGGTTGAAAATGACCTTCGCATGTGGTTTTTAACAGGGGTATTGGCAATGGGGAGGGGAAGGAGAGGAGAGGAGCTTGGCTGTAAGATCTCTCTTACAGGCACGTTTTCCTAAAAGAGAGTTGATGATGTTCTCTGTATGGTGGTACACTGTTGAATGTATTTTCCATTGTTTTTTCCTCATCATTTTTTACAACCTGAAAAATGCAGATGAGACTAAGTAAATGCCGAGTTGCAGAATCTCTTCTTTCTCCAATTTTTATTGGTTTTGTATTTCAAAACGCACTCACTTAGTATTCCTTTGGTTCAAACATACAGTATTTAATGTAAAATGTCTTCTCTGTTTATGCCTTTGGGCAGGACCAAAATCTTAACTAATTAGACGGTCTACACCACATGCTACAGCTAACCTCAGGCTTATAACTCTACCAAGTAAGCAATCATAGAAGCTTGTTTGTTGTACTTTGGCCCCAAGGGAGAAGCATATTGTCAAACGTGAATGCCCACATATGTCTCAGGATAATACGCCTTGGATTTTAAATGACAGACACTTCAATACTGGTTATGCATTTTGCAGTGAAGTAGAAGATGCATTTGTAATTTTTTCAATTATTTTTATTTGAGGTCTGACACTGCTGAGGATAAGTTTGTATTCTGCAATGGACTCGTGCTTCATAGACTTCAGTGCCTTCGTGGATTTGGGGAGTGGCTCGACTCTATTAAAGACTTTTCCTTAAACTTAAAGAGCCTTAACCTTGATATCCCAGCCTTAGCAAGTTTATCAGCTCTAACTATGATTACAGGTAAGTGCTCCTTTGTTAATAGAAAGCTTCAGACTCCAGTGCTTTGCTTTAATGTGGGTTCAAGCAATTTCCTTTAACTTAGCTGTATTCAGGGTAAAGTGAGTATGATTTTTAAGCATTGTAATGACCATAGTGACATTGTGGACTAACATTAGGCTATCAGATACCCCTGTCAAGATATAATCCAACTCTATTTCTTCACGTTTTCATTGTTTTCTTGGATTAGGCTCTAAAAAGCAAACTCCTACAAAATGTTCAAAATACATGCTGAATTCCCAGAAAGGCCTAGTGCAGTGACCAGAGCTGGGTCTTCTGTGTAGGAATACTAATGCTGAGGTAGCTTGAGAGCTGGAAGCTGTACAGCTAGTGTAGCTCATCTCCAGCAAGACCAGAAAGAGTGCTTCACGAGGGCAAGCAGGCTGCTTCTGGTAGCCAAGGTACTGCAGGTATTCAGTGTACTGCTTTTTTGAGAGAGAAAATGGGAGAATAGCAAGAAAAAAACCTCTTCTGCAGTTTTACAAGTTTTGGGGTGTGCTTATGACCATATCACCCCTTCTGTCTGACGGGGCAGGCAGCAGGACAGTAATGTCAGAATCAGCCATATCTGGCCAGTACGTACAAAACAGGGCAGCACAACCTTATAAGTGTAATTTTCTCACTCCTGAAACAACAAAGCCCCTTGAAGTACATGCTGCGTACCTTGGGCTGCTTGCAATTGAAGAGGCATGGCTGGTGGAAGCAGGAAGGGTTGGGAGCATGCATGTCTGACAACCATGCAGCAGAATTCAGAGCAGCAGCCATCTCTGCAGAGGGCCTCACACTCATGGCAGAAAAGCTGGTAGTATAAAGGTGCAGCTGTGTCCTCAGTGTGAGACAGGGCTTCAGTGTGCCTGCAGCAGGATCCTCCCAGGGATGCTAGAAGCTCCACTGGGATGGATATTGATTTCCTTCTGCATTTCAGGCATCCACCAGTTTGCAGGTGGTAGCCTCAACAATATCAGCTACAGGCTTCATTTTGCTTGGATGAGATGATGCTAGGGAAACACTGAGATCAAACACTCAATGGCAAACATAAAACCTAAAATTGGCCAATTCCCGCTGACATGTGTGGGGCCAAGATTTGGCTTCAGAGTTTGCATGGTACGCTTCCCCTCCTGCATTTTGGTGAAGGGTTAGTGTGTAAGTGTAACTCTTTGTTTCTTAAGAAAATTTTTTCAGGCTTTTGATTAACTTCTGTTCATTTCTTGTGCTGTTGGGAAGGGTGTTTTAAGGTCCAGATTCTAGTTTCTTTGATAAAACGCTGAAGTCCAGAATAACTCTGTTCTAGGTGATCCTGCTCCGGCAGTGGGGTTGGACTAAATGATCTCTAGAGCTCCCTTCCAACCCTTCCTGCCACTCTGTGAATCTGTGAATCGGTGAACTCATTATAGCTGTTTCATTCTGTATGAAAAATTTTCAAAATGAGTGACAGGTTAAAGAGAGAAAGAACACTACCAACTAATTTTTTTACTCCTATATGTAAACATTGAACCAACATGTGTTCACCTGTACTTACATTTATACATATTATAAATATATATATGTATATACTTGCCTATGCACATATATAATGTACATATGTATGCGTATACATTTAGATATCTATAAATCAAGGACAGGTGCTGTGTCCGTATCTATTTACATAGAGGCATATACACTCACATATATGCGCACATATGATTGATTTAGATTATTTACTATATATTAGATACATCTTTTTGAGCTAGACACAGATGGCTTGTTCTTGATTATCTTCCTGGAGACCGAGGGGATGCAGGTTGATGAACAGGATCTCCAGCAAGTGTCTAAGTGAATGCAGAAAAAGCTGCTGTATACAGAGAAAAGTCGTTCTTCTTACAAACTCCTGCCCTGTTTTAACATGATAATTCTTTGTTCAGTTGGACTCTGCTTGCCCTTACCTAGCGAGTCAAAGTTGTCCGGTGGCTGGCTCAGGTCACCCTATTTAACAGAAATAACTTTTAATTGATAACATGCCACATTCCTTCCTTTCCTTGATACTAACCCTTTCTGGAGTTGGCTATATTGTGCTGGTCTTCCCAAAGTTTCTAAACAAATGGAAGTAACTGTTGCCTTTAGAAGGAGAGCATTTCTGGCCATAAAAGCTTTAAGGTTTTCAGGTTTTGTCAAGCTTTTCTTGATTTTCTCACCTGCATGAGATGATGCTTAAAATCAATGTAGTTTTCTGCTTATTCTTTCATTTCATGAGGCCAGTATATCTCTGCTGATTTGCTGTTAAGGACAGAGTATACTTTCATCCAACCTGAATTAGGCTGAAGCTCCTGTGCCTAGTGATATATTCACAGGTTTCAGATCTCCAGATCTTTTCAGATCTTTAACTTAGGGACTCAGGCAGAAATGTGGTCACCTGAAAATGGATGGTATTGCACAATGATGAACAATATTGAAAAAAAAAAAGAAAGAGGAAATCAGAAATCATGGCTAAGAGAGCACTACAGCACAAAATGCTGGTGCGCAGGGTTCTTTTGAGACTCTCTCAGTGATAGTATGTTGGAATCTTATATTCAGGAAAGACTTGAGATTTGCCTCTGGTATGGCATCCCATGAGAAATGCCTTCTTGTCTTCTCCCTACAGTTTGGGTGTGACAAGCCATGTGCTGGTTTTCAGCTAGTACCACCAGAAGAGAAAAAATAATAAAGATAGATTTTGGAAATCTGGAACCCGTTGAACACTTTTAAGCATTGTTTTGAGGTTTGTCTTAGATGTAGGTGGGTGATTAAGGTGTCATTCTCTATCTCTGGAGAAGGTACTCCTGTGATGGACTGTTGGAGGCAATGGCCAGTTAGCAGACCCTGGTTCAAGCCCTTTTTGTAAGTCAGAGCGAGAGAGAGTGACCTTTTCCAGGAACACAGGCTATCCGACTACTGAGTATCACTCAATGGCTGTTGTATGTGATGATCTGGGGACAAGCTGGTGCTCAGAGGGACACCCAAGGCGCAGTCTCTGGTCTGCTTCCAACAGGAAGGGAATCTGACCATGAATCTCCTATCTCCCAGATGGATATCCATGTCATTGGGCTGCAAGATAGGAAGGAGCAGGAGAGCTCTGGTTTGTGAATCTAGTTGTTGGCTTTTATTAGCAAGACTGCAAAACCGAAATGCTGGCTTGAGCAAGATTTTCCTCATTATTACAGAAATTGCTCCAGTTCTTATTTTGCATTAGTCAAATTTTCATGACTTGATTGTTCAGCCAAAAAAAAGAAAAAGGCAACAGGCCAGTGTTCTAAACTAGCCATAGCTTGGTTTAATACTATACAGCATCTTAGGTAGCATCAAATTCAAGAATGGTTTCTCCAGGTAAAGAAAAACGCTCCTGGGAACAATGACCTGTTTGTTCTTCTTGATTTCACGAGTGCTCTCCATAGCCCAAACAAAGACGTGCTCTTAGAGAACAAACCCTCTTGTATCCTGGTCATTGGCAGTATCGCTGAAGGAGAAAAGTGAGAGCAGTCGCTGCTCTCTTCCCCATGTTCTCTCTCTGTTCTGCAGGAGTGACAGGGAGAACTAATATCTCTCTCCCAGTGAAGGAAGAGGGAATACATGTAAAAAATAGCATTGGAGACTAAAAGACATTCCACTGTTCCCAGTGTCCCAGGATACTGAAGGCTGTTCTCTCATTTCGGGATGTCAAATTGGCTCCCCAGTAGCAGCCCCGGTAGTTCCAGTGCCCTTTAACTAGTCCTGCTGACGTGTTTGCATCTGCAAAGCTCCCTGTCCTACCTCAAACACAGCTGCAGGTCACAGCGTAGGATGCATGGTTATAGGTGCATATGACCGTTAGTTCTGTTTCGTTATTTTGAAGAGAATGGTAGGAGACCTAGTCAGTATCACAATACTCGCTAATTCACTGCTTGCTCTGAGTAAAACTACAGGTATGCACAACATAAAATAAACAGGAAAATATTTTGTAATACTTTGCGTTGTAGAGTCCATTAGAAAGTCCATATATGTGTGCCTTTTCTGTTTATTTTATGTTCCCTGGGAATTTGCAGCATGTTGCTTAGAAGGGAAATCATCCTGTTGGATTGCTGCTGAATTTTCAAGTCCTTTCAGATAAGACATCAGCCTGAAAGAGCACCCAGAATGAAAGAAGTGACATCTGGTTTATTGGGGGGGGGGCTTGCAAACAGCTAACTTAAAACTCTGCAATGCCAAAACACATCTTTTTTCTTTAAGGCACTCCTTTAGGATCTTCCTCTCTCTGTCTCTCTTCTCTTTTTCTACTTCCTTTGGTTGGTTAAGGAGGGCAGGACACAACTTCCTCCAGCTCACATCGGCATCGCTCTAAGCATCAGCCAGGAGAAAGTACTTAGGAAACAACACATGACACCCCACATCCCCATGAAAGCAAGAAATTAGCTCTGTCTTGTTACTTTTCTTTGGATCACTTACTCTGTTGGGATGTAGAATCTAATGAGCCAAAGAAGGGTGCCAGCATGGAAAGAAAAGGCTGGTCATCTTGGGACAAGTTCTGTCCTTATTTGCACACGGATGATTTCTGTCAGGGTAGCCTGTTGCGTGGGTCACAAGTGTTCCTGCACAACCACTCCATCCTGGACTGGAGAGCATTGATGATGAAGCTTTGCAGAGTTGACCAGGTATCAGCTCAGCCTATTCTTGAAAATGCCTCCTTAACTTCCCAAATAGCCATTTGTACTGCTGCACTTTACGGTCTTTCCAACGGTGTCAAAATGTAGAGATGGAGTCTCCAATGCAGATCATCTTGAGGGCGCACACTGATTTAGCCTCAAATGTTGGCCTGCTCTAAAGCTGCTAGTGGGTTTTTTCTCTTCTCTCTCTTGTTGATTCTCTTTTCCTCTTTGCCTCTTCCTTTCCCTATCCACATCAAACTATTATTGTTTTGCCCACTTGACACTCTCAGTGGGATGCTGCCGAGTACAGAGCATTCTAGCCCTCATTCA